TTTCCCCTTTTGAAGGATCAGGCTTTCAGTTATTGAGAGGTATTGAATTAATGTAAAAATAATTTACTTTCATGAGCATTGAATTCATGATTCTATACATGAGATAGTAGGAAAAAGAATGGGATTATGGCCATGTTCCAATTAGTTTCTAGTACCTTTAAATATTCTTTTTACAAGCAAAGGTCTGTCTCCAGAAACTGAAGCTTTTCCACCATCAAGGCTGAATCCCAAGCCAGCAGAGGTTTTCAATAATTCGATACACACAACATCATTTATATCCATATTTAGGCCTGCAACAGAATATATACAACATTTCATTATTCACCTTCAAATCACAATTTTGCTCTAGTGACAAAACGATTCACTGTTTAGTTTCCACTCCAACTATGACCTGCTTTAACCCATTTTTCTTAAAAGCATATGTACACTTCTATGGTTGGCACATGCAACTCAACATTTGCAATGTACAATTACTCACCCTGTGCGTAGAGAAATTTTGATTTGGCATGTTCTTAAAGATATGCCCAGATATTTTAGGGCCTTTCTATACTGTGGTGATGTCATCTCCCACACAGGAAAGGCCTGTGTACACATGGCCAGACACAATCCAAATAGAAATAAACCAATAAGGGTGCTGCTCTCTTACTCTTTGGCCTCTCTCAGGCTCACCACATGGGATCAAAGTGATGCCCCCTTGCCAGGGAATTTTAGGGCTGGGGACATGCCTGCAAGTTAGGCTGGGTAGGGCACACTTGAGCCGTTCTGGCTGGGACATGCAGACACCACTGTCCAGATAAACCCCCAGCAGGTGACCTTTAAGAGGAGCGTTGAAAATGTGGCCAACGGTATTTTATTAAAAAGTTACAAACATTTTTTTAAAAGATACATTTAAAAATTACAAAAACAATGAGCTGCAAAACATTTTATGGTTGTTGGCTGGATACCTCTTTGTTTATGATTTGCATGACAGCTTTCTAAATAGCCAGGCTATTTAATTTAAACAACTACCATCTCCATTAAGGTAGGGCTTACCAACTAGGATGAATATGTTTTTCTGCTCACACACTACTAGAATTGTCAGATCTCTGCCAGAAGATGTGTGTTGCCCTATAGTGGCTGAAGCACAGGTGTTATAAAGGTGGTGCACTGCTATGTCTACTGATAACTACACCTTGTACCAATGGACCTGTGTTTTTGCAAAAGAGTATTATATTCTTCCCCAGGGGATGGTGCAGTTTAAATACTAATGGAATTGCTATGAATTTGCATTACTTCTTGAAGTAAATTGCTATCAATTATAAATTGCTATCCGAGGGTAAGCTTTGCCTATTGGAAAATGGCATATGTAAATATACAGGCTACCATATGTCTATACTGCCCCTTAATGAACACAACATGAGATAATGCTGCCTCCTAGTGGTTGCATCAGAGGGGCTGTGCACCTTTTAATGCAAGTGGAAGGAGTGATTTTAGAGTAGAAAGTCAAGACTGTTTGCACTGAAGTTCTTTACATCTTTGTGACTACAAAATTACAATTTTATACAGCTATTCTAATCCAGTCAATATTGTGCATCCTGGTGTCTTTGTCTCTAGTAGCAATATATCTATATCAAAATGAAGGAAGCTATAGGCTGCATACTACAATTCCGAAGTATCTAATACTGCGAAGATTATATACTCCAAATACTCTGAAGATTGGTCATCTCAACCTAACAATAAAAACTTGTTTTGGGGCCAGTTCTTCCGCCTATGTAAATGTGCAGGCTCTATTGGAGATAATAGAGCAACACTAATTTACACTGCTAAGTATCTGGTCCACTTATTTAAAAAATGCTTCTAGTGATGTCTCTGGATATTCTATTATAATTCAAGTTGAAAGTACCAGACAATAAAAATAGCAATAACAAAAAGAATCACTCTCCACTAAAAGATGGAGCTGTTCATTTACAAAAGTGGTCATGGACTACTGTGTGCCTCAATTTCTTGGTGCTCCACTTCAGATAAGCATCAGGAAACTTCCTGTGGCAGATAGGACATACCCCTACAGAAGCATACTATTAAATCTCTGGTTACTGGGAGTTATCCAGCATTGCCAACTGATTCCTCTCCAGGTTGCTTAACGGTGGAATTCCAAGCCAGGAACAAATGCCGCACTCATGAAGCAATAGCAAATAGTCAGCTACAGCAAACTTTGAATGATAAAAGGTCTGAGTTCTGAACACCTGACAAGTCTCAGCTACAAAACAAGGCCGTGTGCCCAAACTGAAACCTGTTCCTGACACCACTGATATATGCTACTTCCAGCTACAAATCTAACTTTCTGCAGGTCTCCTCCCAGAATACAGATTTGGGTTTGAATAAGATTTTTTTGTTTATTGTAATATCAAAATATCTGTCTGCTATGTTTAATAAAAATATCTTAAAAAACAAATCCTGCCATTCTATAGATAAATTTAACTTCTTATGAATAACAAGGAGATTTGTAATTTGTTTTTTCTTGCACCAGCTACTGTTGTCATTTTAAAGGCATTTAAATATGTAATCTACATTTAATCCTACATTGGAAGAATATGTGGAAAGACAGACAGTGACTTCAATGGGAACTGGATAAGAGCCTGAGTGTTTATCTAAGGGTCTATCTATTCATGACAGTTTCTAAAAACTACACTTGGCTTCCAAAAAGTACAAATAAAACTTGACGTACATGTTATTTGCTCTCTTTGATCTGATCACACAGACATTTATAATCTGAAACATATTTTTTTCCCCTGGTTCTGCTCTGTAGTGTATTCATGCCAACTGTTCTTGGACTAAAAGTGTACCTGTTCCTCCTATATCCAGGGTAACATCCTTTCCAGGCCCAAAGCATCTTCTGCCAGTAGCGGTTATTTCAAGTCTGGAAGAATCCTTTCCTCTGTCTTTTTCTTTCTTGATGACAATGACTGCATATTTGTGCAGTCTGGCCTGATGGAGAGCATTCAGAACATCTCCATGGAGTGAATCCATAAGAGACATGCCATTGATTGACAAAACAAAATCTCCTCGATGAATGGTCCCTTCTTGAGATGCCACACCCTTCGAAAACACTCTGTGGACCTACAAGAAAGGTTCTGTTTAGTACTGATATGGCATTACGAATATGCATGGTACTTTTCAGAAGTGCTCAAAATGGAGGCCTGACCCTCAAAAGGCTTAGTCTATGAGCCTGATACCAAACACCATCAAGCACAACACTTCTTGTAAGCAGTCCCAAACACCATGCTTAGTACTATCAGACATACCCTGAAAAGGATGTAGGCGTCTAAAAACAGGGCTTAGATGGACCTAAGTCTGCACTGCAATCTGTACAATCATTGCTCAGTGGCCACCTGATAGTTCTGTAGGTGTTTCCAAGTGACAAGTTCTGCTGGCAGAAGCCATCTACTACTGGCAGAGTTGCACCCACAGCAAGTGTTTCATCAGCAGAGGTATGGCATGTCAGTCAACAAAACGCTGTCAGCAGAGCTTTACAATATAGACAAGGGCTTTTTCTGTAGTACCTACAATGGAGTATGCAAGTCTTTTGACATCTGCTGGAGAGTTCTTCAAAGCCTTGATTCACCCAGGAAGAGGCTCTGCCAAGCCACAATAGTTCCAGGATTAAATTTCTGGGCAGAATTCAGAAGCAGTTAAAGGAGGCACTCCCAGTTAAGAGCTAAGGCCTAGATCTTGTAAAGGATTTAAGTTCCTAAAGCAGAATTTAGGTGCCCAAGTCTAAAACTGTGATCCAGAAAAGCCCCACCTAATTGCTGCTTAATCCCAGAGGTGCCTAAACACTACATACATCATTTTTGTACCTTAAGAGGTCCCAAGACACCTAGAGTTCTGTTTCTAGGCATGATTAGAATTGTTTCAGTGTAAGCAGCTCAGTGCCTCACTTACTGCTAAACCCAACTGGGTCCGGAAATGGGCAGAACAGCAGCTAAATCCTTTGAGGGGCCCAATCCAGCATGCTCCACACATACCTAGTACTCTGTAGAATGAGGCACTCTACAAAATGCAGTAGTAGTCACAGCCTTATTTTAGAGCACAGCCATAGGAGCAGGATGTGCTGATGCTACCCACTCACTTTGTAATAGAGAAGGGTAAAGAGCACCCACTTAGGAAGTGGAAAATCTAAGTTTCATACTGTCACCTGCCTAAGGAGATTCATCTCCCATCTTTCAGTAGAAGGCCCTAACTACTTGACTAGGAATAGGGAGGCTGTTATCCTATGCAGAAAAAAAGAGAGGGAGCATGAAGGGGCAGACCTGTGACTGGAGGACTCAACTAGGACAGAGAGGTCCTGATTTTCCATCCTGCTCCCAGGGTCTGATTCTGGATTTAAATCCAATGACTGTTTCATGTAAAATATAAAACAGTCCTGGAAGCAGGAACTAGAACCTTCTTATAAGCATTGCTTCAGCCCCAAAGACTAAGGAACGCCATTTTCCTAATCTCAGAACCAAATGGTTTAACCCTTTTTAAGTGTAAGATTGAAACTCTTCAACCATGTTGGAGGGCATGTTGCATGGTGCATGGGTTCTCTTACATTTCCTCTGTCTTAATGCTTTTACTTTTGGAAAGTAGTTCAGTTGTTTGGCACAACTTTTTTTGCCTGGTTTTATTTAAGGGTGCTTAGACTGTTTAGACTGCTTCTGCGTAACAAACCTTATAAATAAAAATTATTAGTTTTCAATAACGGAAACAATTCCAAAAGAATCCAGAATATTTACTGAAGTGTGATGTGGCCTTCCTTGAGTTCAAAGCACAAAACAAAGAACACATTTTCAAAGATAAGAACTAAAATCCACCTACACCAGGCTGCGTCCAGTGCAGGCATGTGAGATTTTACTGATATCCTTTGGACTTTCCTGGATTCAACAGGATGATAATTGAGTTACACTTTTGAGGCTAGTTTAAAAATAACTGGCATCCATTTCCAGGAACAAAAGTATTACCTCAGCTTATTGTTCTGATATGAGCACTGATTGCAGTAGCAGATGACAAGCAGCCTTCTCTCAAAGACATTATTTTATGATTCAGACTGATTTGCAATAAGTCTTGAACGAGCACTTGATTTAATTTCCAGCCTGCCTTTAAATCAGCTTCTGCTAAAAATGACTTGTAGTCATCACTTACTACGACTGATTTCTGTTCCAGATCTATTCCACCAGCGACACTAAACCCAAGGCCAGCTCCTTCTTCTTTACTCAAGACTACAAAGTAAGCGTCTTCTTTGTTCTAATAAAAGAATAGAAAACAACAACCAGCAGTCAATACTACAGTCCTGCAGACAGACTAGATTTGCAAACTACTTTAAGCCCAAGAGTTGTAGTTTTCACAAAAAAAATGTAATTCTTATGCAAGGAGTTGAACAGACGTTCTCTTTTTATTTGTACAGCATGGGTAGTATTATAGGTGCTCTCAGCTGACTCTAACAGAGGTCACTTTAATCTAGCAGGTAATTGTGGAACAGGGCCCAATAGGTGGAAGTTGAAGCTTGATAGCTTTAGATCAGACAGACAGAAAATGTTAAAAGCAGCCATAATTGGAACAACTTACCAATAGTGGTGGTGGATTCTTTAGCACTGGACATTTTTAAATGAAGATTGGGGCTGGGGTTTTTCTCTAACAGGTACATTCTAGTTCAACTACAGCTACTGCATTTGTGTATTTGTTATATGAATTCAGGGAAATCCTATGGTCTGTGCTGTATCAGAGGCTGGACTAGATTATCACAATGTTTCCCAATCCCCACGCGAGCGGATCACCTACAGTGGCAGTTCAGTATCTATGCCCATTCCACCCAGCTTCTCCACTAAGACTGCTAACAAGAAAGCTGACTGAGATTAAACTACTTGCTACACATATACTTAGGGCAGGTGTAGACGAAACAGGGGCCCTAAATTGAAGCAGTGGGTTTTAAAAAACACGGCTTCAATTTAGGACTGATTAAACCCCCATGTCGTGCACACACTCCGCTGACTTACCTGCGGTGGGCCCACCCTGACAGGCAGCACCTGCCCACAGGCACCTGGCTCAGGCAGTCGTGGGGGGCACCGTAGCTGCAGAGGGAAGAACCAGGCCTCCATGCAGCTCAGGCAGACAGGCTCTGGGGGGAGATCAGGCTCGATGCTTTTCTTGGGTGGAGCCTGCTTTCCTGGGCTGCTGCCAGGCTGCCTGCAGGACTTTCTACAGAGCTGCACAGCTGCACGGAGCCCAGTGCTTTGCTCCACGGCTGTAGGGGCACCTTACAGGAGTTTTAGTTTGCTGCACCCCAAGTCATTTAAGGCGCATTATGCCACCAAATTTCCTACAGCGGCTGGAATTAACGTGCAATACACCACCGAGGCATGCAAACACCGACACCATTAAAGCAGTGTAAAAGCATTTAGCCTGCTGTAAAAAGTGTTGGGCACACATGCCTCTTGTTTCGTCTACACAACCCTAGTCACTACTCGTTACATGATGAAAAGTGCCAACTGTTACTGATCTGGGCTGCATAGAAAGAGAGTTTAGCTTTCAGTAGTAAGCAGCGTTTTTGCAAGTGAAAATCTAGTCTTCTGAAGCAGAATATTCTGCTTCTCAACCCAGCAAACCACTAAGAATACTCCTTAGGAATCAGTCTCCTTGAGCTAAATTCAGCCTTGGTGTAAAAAAGTGGCACTCAAGTGAAAAAAAAGGAGCATAACTTGCTTACATCAGGACTGAATTTGGCTTGTGAGCAAGTGAACAACAGTACAAAACTGATTCATATAAAATAATGTGCAGCTGTTGGAACATAGAATTTACTGACTTAGACCAGCAGGGAACATAATACCGGCCACAGGTTCCTTGTGGGTCTGGAAATTTGGCAGCAGGGGCTTGGTGGCAGTGTTAATTGCCACAGCTTCCAGAGCCATGGCAATTAACACTGCAACTGCTCATCCTGCCATGCCTGGGGGGAACGCCACAGACTAGATGACTTGGCCCTGTATGCTAGATCTGGCTGACAGATTGGCCCTGCCCGCTGGATCCAAGTGAGTTGGGTACCCCTGGCTCAAACCATGCATTTCTCAAGTCTGGTATCTTGCACGCAATAGCTGTTAGGCTAAACAAGAGGTACTGCTACAAAAGCCAGGTTACATTTTGCAGTGTCAGTGGGACAACACACAATCATATGGTGCAGTACCAGAAAATTAACCGAGCCTTCTGTAGCTCATCAGGAACTGATAGTGTATAACAGCATCTCCCCACCTCTTCCCTGGGATCACATCCAACATGAAGCATATCCAGGAACTGTCAGTACTGAAATTAATATTATCATTTTAGAAATGAGGCCCTGACACAGTTGCATCTATTTATCATTAACTGGCATAGTTCACAGGACTCAATCTTGTCTGGCCCAGGGGCGGTGTTTTAAATTAAATTAAATCCCTGATCTAAGAAAACATCGTGGGGAAATCAAACACCATTAAGGGTTGCCTTGTAAATAGAACCAGCCACATTCTTGGCTTCACTGTAGCTGTTCTGTGCCAGCCTAGTGGCCTTGAAGGATTTCCCTGGTGAAAGGGGCATCCGTAAGCAGCACAGAACCAGAGTAAGAGCTTGGTGTCATACTGCAGTGAGCACTCGTTGCAGTGGTATTCCCAGGAAGAAAGCAACAAAACTCAGCATCTTAGGCAATGGTAATCCTCACTTCCAGAACAGCGTCATGGGGCCATTGCCAGCTGGACTTCCATGTGAACAGCCCTCTATTTACTTGAAGTGAGGAAACAAAGAATAAAATCATTATAAATTAGTTTAATACTAAAATCCAGCCTGGTCTTCAGCACAGTGTGCTGTATGAAAAGAATACCAAGATCCCATTAAACTTTGCATTTGTCTGCACTAACAATCTTCTAGTGGCCATAAACTCCTACCCTGATGTAACCTGCACTGGAAAGAACTCTTAGGGGCTGCAACATTGTTTGGTTTCATAGGTTCAAATACCCCAGTACATTCAACAAGGCAACCTGAGCTTAATCTTATTCTCCAAAATACACAATGGAGCTCTGCCCAGCTGTAGAACTCCTTCTTTAACAAAAGCATGGAAAGCTGCCTAGAGTTTGCGCTGCACAGCCACTGCACAAAACTATATTAATTACTGTAACAACTTCCATCATCCACCTTCCATGCTTTACAAGCACCAGTTAATCTAACTCCACTAGGCCTCAGAGACATGGGTAATTATAACTTAACCCACAGCCCCAGCACACTTTATATTTAAGATGCGATTAACCAGGTAATTATGTCTTAAATTGTTACCCAGCTGCATGTTAATGCAATTAATGGCATAATAAAACAAAGAATAAACCACAAAGTTATTACACAAAAAATGGCTAGGAGTCCTGTCAGCTGATTGGGTTCCCAGCTATGGGGGCACACTATGTACCCCCATGGCTGGAAGCCCAGATCAACTTACAGTTCCCAGCTATGGGAGCACATTGTGGGTCCCTGTGGCTGGGAGCCCAGATCAGCTGACGGGGTTCCCATCCACAAAAGCCGGTGCACAGGGAGCCCAAAATTGTGATCCTGGGCTCCCACTACACTGGCAATAAGGCATAATGGGATCTGATGCTGAATCCCACAATTATGCCTTCTGCCATGCACATATGGCATCACAGAAAGTGTGATTGTGGTGATCCAGCATCAGATCTCATTGCATCTTCACTTGCACATCTGCCAGGGGCCCAGGTCAGCTGAGGGCAGGGGCACAAACTCCTGATATTAAGGGTCCAACACCCTCTTCTCTCAAAATTTCCATCGAAGTGAACTAAGTACACCAAGAGATTGGGTCTCAGACCTCTTCAGTTTTGAACTGTAACCAAAGTGTCACCCTTCCAAAATCTGAGACTGGTTACAATAAACTGACCTTCCCAAAAAATATTTCAGTATTTAATTTTTCTTCATGACTAGTATGATTGGTAGCAATAATTTAAGCAGGATGCAGACATAAAAAAAAGGATACAGCCTCTGCCCAGAGGAGCTTACAGTCTGACACAGACACTCATCACTTTTCAGTGATTATATCATTCTGAAGAACCGTCCCATTGTAGACTTAAATCCAGCATGTAACTAGCATAAAGTTTTCCAGCCTACGTGCCATCCCAGACTTAAATGTGGATAGGAGAAACTATGCAGACAAAATATATTCCAAAAAGCATTCCATTTTATAAATATTTGAGTTCTCAGATTTTAAAAACTGGCATGAATAAATAATCCTGCTAAGATTCCATGTAAAATACTTGAAAATGCATTTAATTACTTTTGGCCAGGAGTAAAATCCAGTTCTAGAAAATCTGCCAAACCCACCTGGCTCACCAAGCTCTTGGGACTGGACTCGCAAGCTTTAACTAGTCTGCCTCTGGAAAGACATAAAACTGAGTAGCTTTGGGAGTTCCTGTCCTCCCAGCCCTTCTTAGATACAAAAACCGTGACCTTTGCAAATAAGATTCAGAAGCTACCCAAATCCAGCCCGGCAGCCAGTTATGTGCACCAGATGTCAGCTCCTTCAGTGTTGTCATTACTTACCCATATCAGCTTCAGTTTTGATTCAAAGAGGAAAGGAACGTACTCAAGCTAGATATGGACAATTAATGTGCTGGCAACCGTTGAACATGAGAGGCCTTCTTTAGGCATCTGGACAATGAAGCAGGTTGCCTTAGTACTATAACTGGTCTCCACAGACTGGAGTGGGGAGAGAACAGCAGCATGGGCCTGTTCCAAACCTGCCAAGCAGCTATGCTTCATGTTATTTTAAAGCAACCACTCCATTTTCATAGCCTTGAAATTTCACGAGAAGGAGAGCTTACTAGAACAGATGGGATCAATATTTTCCTGTTTGTCTGAGAACTTGGTCTGAGCCAGGTACTTGGTGAAAGGTGTTACTGTCATTCTTCAGATACTTGTGAGCTCAAAGGCTTCTAAAGTTACGGGAATGCCTCAAATGGAGACAGTTTCTCCCATTTAGATTTGCAGAGCAGCCCATTTCGCTATGTATCATAACAACTTTCACATGAGAGGGAAATGAACCAGTAAATCTATATTGGGGCAGGCAAAATACAGCCAGTGGGCCAGATTCAGCCTGCCAGGCCATTCTATCCGGCCCATGAGGCCCCTAAAATTTTTAGAAAATGAATTTTTATCTGCCCCCGATTGCCTGTGAAAGATGACAGGTAGCCAGCAGCAGTAGGACCCAGAGGTAGTCAGTGGCAGGACCCAGCAGCTGAGCAGCATGGCCTGTCTCACTCCACCCCACCCCATCCCCATCCCCATCCCCCCCTGCCCTCAGCCCCCAACTGGAAGCCTCTGTGGCTTCTGGCCTTGCAACCCTGGGGCCGTTTCCCGC